TGAATTACTTGTTAATTGTTTAATTGCGTAGGTTTTTCTTTTTCTTTAACTAGAAATTTGTTTTACTTATTTTAATTAGGGTTTGTTGTTCATAGTCACGTTTTTAGCCGCTTTAGATATAGATTGAATTGGCCGTCTTTAACTTATAATAGGATTAGGGTTGGGGTTTCCTTAAACCTATAAAAATACGTCTTAAGTTCTGTTTAGGGTTTTAGAACCCTAGTCACGACAGTGGAGGAAGAGAGAGAACAGAGGAGGGATTACAGTTTTCTGCCGGCGAATTTAGGAAGCCAACGGTGCAAGGTTTTAGACTGAGACCTAAAGGCAAGTTTTATTCCTAACTCTCTCTCTTTGACTCGTGTTCTTGACATGCCTAACTTAATTCCAGGGGTAGATGAACATTAAAACTAAACTGGTTTGCATGTTTGAATTGTTTTAAGCAGTAGGTGTCTATAAACTATCAAGTGCTTTTTTTACATTCTTCTTGTATAATTCTTGATTTAATTGATGTAAATTAATGAATAAAGGATTTAATCAGTGCTGGAACTCCTTGGGAAGACATTAAACTTAATCTGGGTCGCATGGGTGATCACTTGAAACGGTATGATCATGAATGGAAAATTGTTTCGGTTTAAATTCTTCTTGCATAAATTGTATTTTAATTGATGTTGGTTGATGAATTAAGAGTTTAATTAACTTTAGGAACACACTGGACCTAGTATTAGACACCTAGGAGCTTTAGGAATGGAGGACAGATGATCAGAAAGTCAAAAAATTGCCGGCCTTGGAGAAGACGGAGGCTGGGAAGAGTGGAGGCGGCTCCATTGAAGTGGAGGTGGCTCCACACATATTTGGAGGTGGGTCCATATGTTTTTGGAGCCGGATCAATGTTGAGTTTTTATTTTTCTTCCATTTCTAGTCAGTTTTGGCTACAATGGTTGGGTTTCTGTGGTTCCAGTTGGGTTTAAGGCTGTATGTGGGAGGTATAGATGATGCTTAAAAACATATTACGGCTCTAGGAAGCATGCTAATAATTTAATTATTATCGTCACTTGAACAGTATGTGGTTTAAACAAAGTAGTACACTGTTTTGGAGTTGGAGGATTTAAATTGCTTAATCCTTTTTGTTAGCAATTTTTCTGTGAAGGTTTATATAATTGAAGCTTGTATCGTAACATACTATGATCATGTATTTCAATTATGCTCTTTGGGAATGAGTTGATGTTTAGTGGTATTATGATTTAAATTTATTAATTTACCGGATATTATGGAGCAGTATGAACTAAGCATGTTTATGTATATAATTTTACTATGCTTATTGATGCTTACATTATTATTTTTAGTATCAATTGTTAGATGTATGGAATAGTTGATATTTACTTTCATTATTTGTATTATCAACTACTGGATGGATGGATGGTATGCCCCGGTATGGGACGGTGGCATACTAGGGACGGATCAGTTTCAAAATACTAAATCCTACCTTACGGAATAAGGGAATGGATTATAAAATAAATCCTACTTATATTTAAGTCAGATCAGCTGAAACAAAGTTGAATGACTAACTGGATTACTTGCTATGGATATGTAAGTCAGTGGAGTTGAACAAGCTGGACGGCTTACTGGATTTCTTATGGATGGATAGGATAGGACTTTAAATATATTTTTATGGTACCGCGATATGAGCTTGAGTATCAGAGTCGATGGTTAGGGAGCGTATATGTAGTAGGATGCGTAGCTGGCTATGTGGGTTGAGGTATACCCTGTTAGGTTTAGGTAGTCATGCCCATTCAGGTGCGTTTTTCATGTTGTCTTCTATTCAGGTTGAGACCATCTGCATAGTCTAGTAAGAGTCCTGTAGTGTGGATATATACACATGTACGGATTATATAGCTATTGTTGAGTTGGTTATGATGTACATACGTATCGAGTCTCTGTTCGGATTGTAGTAAGATAGAACTTATTCGTGGGCTTGACCTACTTCTATTTTTCAGGTGTTCGACAGTTCCAGTCGTAGGCTTGATTATGCTGAGCAGAGACTATCCCTCATTCTTCCGACGATGTAGGACTTCTCTCTGTAGTTGAACTTTGGATGTTCTTTCAGTTTATTTTCATTTCAGTTTGGTTTTAATTAGGGGTCTGTAATACCCCTAATTTCAAAAGGATAGTCCTGCTATTTAATTTATTGTTTTAATTGAATTTTAAATTGTTTAACTTGTTGATTGACGTGTTTATTTGCAATAATTGACGACTTGTTATTTAATGGTGATTTTGTGAATTAATTAATTATTAAATTGTATTTTATTTTCTGTATTAATTATAAAATTCTTGTTATTTTCTGTATTATGTTAAATTGGAATTTATTGTTTCCTTTAATTGAAGTAATTATTAAATGATTTAATTAATTATTAAGTATGAAAATATCGTTAGGGTTTTACTTCTGTTTAGGTTTAAGTTATAAGCCGACGTAAATTTGGGTTGTCTATGGGTTGGCTAGGATTCCGATTAGGGCTTGAAGTAAAAGTTGGTTTCTTGTAAAAACCTATAAATGTAAGTATTGAGTTCTACCTAGGGTTTTTAGAAAAACCCTATTCACGACAGTGGAGGCAGAGAGAAACCAAAGAAGGCAAACAGAGATTTCGCCAGGGAATTGAGGAAGACATCGGTGTAAGGTAAATTCTAATCCTAACTCCTTCCCTTTGCCTCATGTTCTTTGCACGTCTAATACAACTCCAGGGAATATAAGGATTTAAATTTAAACTGAAATTTTCCATACCTCTGTTGTGTTACAACTGTCGATATTTGGAAATTACATACTGTTGTTTAGATGTTTTCCTGTATACCATATAATTGCATTCATGTTAATTAATGAATAAAGGGGTTTAATCAGTTTTGGAACACCTTGGGACAACATTAAACTGAATAGGGTTCATATGGGTGTTCATCTGAACAGTGTGTCCATGGATGGGAAAAACATTCCAGTTTAAATTCTTTGTGGTATAATTCATGATTAATTAGTATCGTTGGTTGAATAAGGAATTTAAATGGCTTTTGATCATACTAAAATCTTATTAAAACACTTAGGAACCCTAGGGATGAAGAGCAGTTCGTCGAAAAATCGCTGGACGCGAAAGGGATAAAGAACAGAGAAGAGACGGCTCAAGATTTCAAAGAGCCAGCTCTTTGGAGCAAAGAGCAGGCTCCATGGGAACATGGAGCCTGCTCAAAGGGGTCTTGGAGCCTCCAAGACTGGGAGAGGCGGCTCTTTCTTTGAAAGAGCCGGCTCTTTCTTTGAACCGGTTTCCAGTTTTACGTTTTCTGTGATCTGTTTGGCTACGGAACTCGGATTTTGGGATTTTCAGATTCTGCAAGAAGATATACTTGGGTGTTTTGAGATGTTCTAAGTCTAGTTAACACTTGTGAGAGTGGCTTAATGCTTAGTAAACCAGTAGGTGTTTATAGCTTGAAAACTAGTAAGTCTCGACGGAAATTGTTTTATATTAGTGTAGGGGAATTTTAAATTAGTGAACCTTAATTTATTTATTCTCTGTGAGTGGAAATTTTATTAATATGATATTATTAATAGTGGACAAGCATGATAATTAATATGGTTTTTATTAGACTTGTCATGGTTTTATGGATGAGAAGAATAAATTATCTGCATGCTCAAGTAAGATAATTTGTAATGGAGATATGGGATGAACATGATGCTTATCTATTTAATTTAAGTTCATCATGGAATTAATTGATATGTCTTATTATTTTGATCTATCAGTTACTAGAGTAAGCATGTTAGTTTATATTTCTATTTATGCTTATTATGGTTTAGTTGCGATGTGCATTGATTATGTATTCCATCAACTGTTGGATGGATTGGATTGTATGTACCGGTATGGGACGGTGACATACTAGGTTTGGGTTAGCTCAAATTGCTAAGTCCTACCTACTTTGGAATAAGGATACGGATTTATAAAAATAGAATCCTCCTTATGTATAAGTCTATGCGGTTGAATAAGCTGAACGACTTAAGTCTGTGCTGTTGAATAAGCTAAATGACTTACTGGATTTCTTATGGATGAATGTGAACGGATTTTAAATATATTATTATGGTACCATGACATGAGCTTGAGTCTCAGAGTCGACGATTAGGGAGCGTATATGCAGTAGGACGCGTAGCTGGCTATGCTGGTTGAGGTATACCCTGTTAGGCTTAGGTAGTCATGCCCACTCAGGTGCGCTTTGCATGTTACCTTCTACTCAGGTTGAGACCCGTATCATAGTCTAACGAGAGTCCATAGTGTGGATATATATATATACACGACTTATATAGTTATTGTTGAGTTGGTTAGAGTGTATATGCGTATCGAGTCTCTGCTTGGATTATAGTAGGTTAGAACTTGTTCATGGGCCTGACCCATTCCTATTTTTCAGGTGTACGTCAGTTCCAGGCCTGAGCTTGTTCGTGCTGAGCAAAAACGGTCACTCATTCTTCCGACGACGTAGGATCTCTCTCTATGATTTAATTATGGATTTCTTCTAGTTTTATTTCAGTTTAATTTTCTTATTAGGGGTTCACTGGATGGATTCCCGAGTTGTACCCTTGGAGGTTTTGGAGTTGGATTATTATTATCTGGGTTTTAAAGTATTTTAATTTTAAAGGATTTTATATATTAGATTTCTTTCAGCTTTTAAACTTTTATTTATTAAATTCATTTTGTATTCTGTGTTCGGTTAAATATTAATTGTCTGATATTCCTCGGGTTTGGGCCTGGGCCTGATCAACCCGTGTCTCGGATCTGAAGGGTATTACAGTTGGTATCAGAGCACTCGAGGTTCAAGTGTCTCTAGGATTCTATTGTATAAGACTTCCGCGTGGCGTTCTCTCTTGTTTAGAGCTTTAAGATTAGGATTCGTTGAATTCCTTTACGGTCCGTTTACAATCGTACTGATGTCTGTCTTTCTATGTTAACAGTATGGTTAATGCTAGAAGAGGACAGAACATGAACAGTCGACAGAGGAGACTGGCATGTAGGCAGCAAGAACGCCTACGGCGTCGGCAAATGGGGGAAGAGCAGCAAGTGCCTAGGTTTCAGGAGGAAGATGGTCAGTTGCAGATAGAGCATGAGGAAGTTCAGCATACTCAGGAATCTTAGCATTAGGTCTACAATCAGGGTAGGGATCCAGAGTATTCTCCTCTGTTAGTTTACATCATTGCTCAGGCTGTAGCTGCAGGCGTAGCAGCGGCACTTTAGAGTCAGCTACATGTTCAACAAACACTTGAAACAGTACTAGTGGTGCAGAATGTGGTTAAAGTTCATTATTTTGGCGGCGGAGAAGATGGGCATACATCCAACCAATGTTCTGAGTTAGCCCAGAGACAGCAGAATGGGGTACTACAGGCAGAACGGGATCAATTACAGTCTAACCAGCAGAGGGGGTCATTTGTTACTTTTAGGGGTACTTGCTATACTTGTGGAGAGTATGGTCACACTTCTAAGCAGTGTCCTAGACGAGGAGGTATCGGGCCGCCCCAGCAGGAGGGTATCGAACCACAAGGAGGATGACTCTTTTAAGAATGATTTTTGATTATTAGTAGTAGAGGAGATTTTAATAAAAGTGTGGTATGGATTTAAACACATACACTAGTTGTATGTTAAAGAATATCTTACGATTTTCGTTTGACAGTTATGGTGTGGAAAAGTTCTTTATAAAGTGAACTAGCGGTTTTGGTTATCTTTATTATGTTTTGAGATAGCATTTTTGTGATATGTACATATTTGGTTTTATTAAACTATATTGGGATGATTGTGTTGCATTAATAGATGATTATCCTAGTGGAGTGATTGGGGTTTGTGGAACAGGCAAGCAAATAGTTGCTTGTAAATACATGGTGTGGAGACAGGTTGATTACTAAGAAGTTTATAAGAGAACTTGTGTAAATCAATATGGTAAGTTTGATTTAGAAGGAGGTATTCCCAGGATAGAATAATAATCTAAAAAATGGGACGATTGCGGAGCATTTCGTTTTACCTTATGTGTTTTGCTCTACGGAGTATTTATAAACATGGGATTTTCATGGATTGGTTGGTGACACACATATGCAGTAGACCTCAAGATATTTCTACATTGTTGGGTGATACAGCCATTTTACATGAGAGTGACGGACCTGTGACACTAGATGTTGGCAGACTCAGATTTCTAGCCAATCTACTGGTCCTGGACATGCGCACTTATGACGTGATACTTGGGATGGATTGGTTATGTCACTACCATGCCCAAGTTAATTACTTTGATAGGTCTATTGTGTTCACCATACCTGGTCAGGATATGTATGTTGTAGCTATGCCACGTTCTAATGGGGGCGGTAACACGTATTTGTTCCATGTAGAGGAGGAAACAGAGGAGGAGGTTACTGTATCATTGGATCGTATACCAATTGTACAGGACTTTCTGGATATATTTCAGGAGATTCCAGGGTTGCCACCTAGTCGCGAGATCGACTTTGTGATTGACTTAGCTCCAGGCACTATGCCTATTGTTAGGGCACCGTATAAGATGACACCAGTAGAGATGAGAGAGCTGAGGGATCAGATTTAGCAATTACTCAGCCAGGGTTTCATTCGTGGGAGTACTTCACCCTGGGGAGCACCAATTTTGTTTGTGAAAAAGAAGGATGGTTTGCTTCGCCTGTGTATTGATTACAGGGAGTTAAACAAAGTTACTATTTGTAACAAGTATCTGCTACCCAGGATCGATGATTTGTTTGATCAGTTAAGGGGAGCCGCATATTTCTCCAAGATTGATCTACATTCTGGGTATCATCAACTAAGGGTTAGGGAGCAGGTGTAACGACCCGGATTTCTCAACCCGGTGCATTAGTGATGAATTGAAAGTTGACCCGATAATGGACCCAAAATGCGGAAGCGAAAGAAGCCAAATGACCTCAAGAGATGTACGTCATCCCTAAGGCCCCAAAATGACTCTCTATGAAGCCACGGAACTCAAATGAGCCAAGCAAATGAAGCAAGAATTCCTAACCAGAAAAGAGATGAACTAAGGGCAAAATGGTCATTTCTCATTGAAAAGGGTGCCACCGTGTACACCATTGGAAGGACAACGAAAAATGAACAAAATTAGACTCAAGAATCGTCTAATTCTGAGTCTGGGCAGAAAAGATATGAAATTCCAACACCCGATGCGAAAGTTATAAAGCAATGACTTAACATTTTCCAATATTTTCATAATAAACTTTGAAAACAAAAGTGCATAGAAAACGAGATACATGTCATTGGCCTCCGGTCTCATCTCATACATAATAAATACATTGAAAAGAATGCACTTACATACACTTTACATATACGAATCAACGAATACAAGTTTAAACAAATAAGGCTACAAAGAGGCATCTTATGCTAACACTTGCATAAAATAGAAACTTAGAAACTGTAAGCCATCTAAGGAGCAATGGAATCTTCAAATCCTGAGTCCTGTACCTGAAATATGCCCCAGTATCGTAGGGGTGAGTAACATAAAGCTACTCGTAGGAGATGAGCATGCATCGACCTAGCATTTTATAATTTTATCACCTTATGGTGAAACATGTTAAAGGGGCTCATGCCACCTAACGTCTATGTCAAGATGAGACACAGGGAGCATCCTAAGCTACCTAGATCATTTATATCATAATCACATTGTTCATGCAATTCAAACAACATGGAAACATGTTATACAAGGCAACAAGATATAGATTCTCAAAGTCTTCAACTTGAAATCCAAAATACGAAAACAACAAATGTGGGTCATGCCACCTAACGTCTATGTTCAAAATGAATCTATAAGGTCATTCCTAAACTACATTTGAACATCAAAACACAAATTATGATATCGATGCAATTTAACCAACAATGGAACTTCCAATACAACGCATGAAGCATGCTTTCAAAAAGCTACATCTTAAGCTCAAAATAGGAAATCAAATAAGGAACAACAAGTTAGGATATCATCTAGTTATCAACTTGAAATGAAATTCGAAATCAAACAAAGTGGATACTCGGACGTCACGCCGGATCAGACCGACAACATAGTTACTTTAGGGTTACTAGCCCATGGGTAACCTCCCTATGTGCGCACTAGACTATAGAGAGGGACAATCCCTCGTACTAGAACCAAGTCCTAGCTGTAGCTAAACAACGACATCCCCAAGTTTCCAAAATCAACAAATTGTGCAACAACGTATATATATCAACATATATATACAAGATTTCAACTATTTACCAAGCACAATCCAAATTTTGGAAACTTATACAATACATGCTCAAAATTCACAACTACTATGGCATGTAAGATGTCAAATACAAAGTGTGCAAATCCTTACACATAGCAACAATATATTCAATAAGGAAAAACATATTCTCATGAATATAAAAGTAACAACTATGTTATCCAATATTCAAAAGTAATCAAGTGAACATACGTCAAATCCAAATCCATGATTTAAATATAGAAACAACTTCCAAAATGCAATTAAATCCATGCAGTAATAAAGTAGAATTTAATTAAATATAAATAGTTAAATTCTCTAAATTCCAAGTTAATCCAAATAACCTCAATTTAATATATATTGAAAGATATGTCATGGTCATCATATATATAACATCAAATGACAAGTTAAGTGATTAAAACACTTAAAACAAAATTAATCAAACTAATTAATTAATTTCCTCTAGATTTTTAAACAATTCCAAATGCCCTCAATTTAATCTATGTTAGAGAACATGCCAAGGCCTATTTAAATACCACATTACAACTTGATTTAATGCTTGATACAACTATGTGAATTAAACTTTCACTAAAGATAAATATTAAATAAAAGTTGTAATTCTTAATCAAATGATCCAAATTTAATATATGTTAACCAATATATCTAAGCATAATTTCCTAGCATGTTACAATTCAAATCAAAGTTATACATCATCATAAATTTTAAATCTTATACAAAGAAATAAAAATTACTAACTTTCTAGATTTGAACAAGGCATACATATATGTTGTATAATCATGGCAAACACACAATACAACACACAAATAATCCTAAAACATTCCCTACCTCAATTGGAATAAAAATCCCAATTACCACCGAAATAAAATCGCCCCAAATTTTCGGTCCGAAAAACAGATTTTTCAGCTTGCTACCTTCAACTTGTAAAATTCATAAAAAATTCAATTCTAACCCAAAAATGAATGAATCCAAAGCCCAGTGAAAGCTTAAACACTGTAATTTGATAATATAAATTTAGTTTAATAAAATATTTTCCCAATTGAAACAGTTTTGACCCACAACTTTGAAACAAATTCTGCCCAGAAAACACATTTTCAGCCTGTAGCTTCCAACTTTGAAAATTCATGAAAAATTCATTTGACATCCAAATTGGGTAAACTGAATTTATTTTGGAAGTAAACATATGAGAGTGTAAAACTGGAAATTGAAGCCATGATCCAATGTCAAAAGGTTAGTGAAATAAATCATCTAAATATATGTTTTTCAGCTGCAATAAAAACATGGACAACAGATAGTTTCGGATTTTTTTAAAAATTTAGAAATGCTCTAAAATCGTGAAAACATTCTGAGTAGTGTAAAACCCATGGATGAAGTTCCAGTAAAAATGTCAAGGCAATTGAAGCACCACAGCTTCATATAAAAAATTCATTTCCGGACTGAAAAGGAAAAGCTTCAAATTTCCAGCAACTAGCTTGCAACTTCAAAAATTCATAACTAATTCATTTTAAATCCAAATTACATGGAACCAAAACTAAATAAATGCTAATTGAGTATATTTTGATATTCTATGTTTAATTTGACAAGATTAATGACAAGTTAAAACAGTTTAAGGGCAAAATACAAGTCCTTCTCTTCCATACATGTAAAACACTCAATAATGACATAAAAATACTTCAAAATAATAGATCAATACGTCACTAGAGAATTGAATCTCTAGATACCAAAGCAAAACTAGGAGTTACACTAGATCCTTCAAGGGTTTTGAAGAGGACGATGAGGGGAACAAAAAGTATTCCAAGTTCAAAGTTCTAAGGTGAGTGAAAGGGTACCAAAAATGAAGTCAAAGTTACTAGTTAAGCTTTTCTCCAATGGTGGCTTCCTTAGGGTTCTTGAGAGGAAAGTGATGAATGAATTAAAAGGTGTAAACCCTAAGCTAAATTGGTGGGCTTCTCCACTCACTAGGTGCTCTTGCACTACCTTTCACACACACACTAATGCAAGACAAAAGGTGAGTCCTACATTTGTCATGAATCCAAGTAAGCTTCCAAGATTAAATATTAACCCTACACTTGTCAACCATCCATGCCAACAAGTGCACCAATCCTAGGACAACAAGTGGGTGAATCTCCAACCTCCATGTGTCATGAGATTAAGCCTCTAAGTGGTTCCCCCACAAAATCAACAAGTGGCACCATAGGAATGTGACACTTGTCACATTTTTCGAAAATTGCAAAAAGGTCTTTTTTAAAAATATCTTCCAATTTAATTTGCAAAATGGTCCCTAAG